GTCTCTGACAAGTATAAATCATAAGAAACACGTTGTATTAAATACAAAGATTATAAAAACTATAAATCAATTGGATGGTTCTATTCTTTATAAATCAATGTTAAAATGAAATATTTTCATATGGAAAATAAGATAATAAGAAGAATATATTGCAATGTACTCTCATGTACAGTCTTGGCCAAAATGTTTGCATACTGTTCTATATTGATGTTATGGTCTACATGCATGGGGTAGTTATTGAGTAAATGCCCGAGTAGTAACAGAGAAGGTAGCGTATGTTTGTTTGTTTTGAATTTCGCGCAAAGCTACACGAGGGCTATCTGCGCTAGCCGTTCCTAATTTAGTAGTGTAAGGCTAGAGGAAAGGCAGCTAGTCATCACCACCCACCGCCAACTCTTGGGCTACTCTTTTTACCAACGAATAGTGGGATTGACCGTCATATTATAACGCCCCCACGGCTGAAAGGGCGAGCATGTTTGGTGCGACAGGGATTCGAACTCGCAGATTGCGAGTCGAGCACCTTAACCACCTGGCCATGCCGGGGCCAGGTAGCTTATGATCGGACAAACATGTACGAGTTGTTATTCTGGTCTGACTAAGTTGTTTTGGGCATTTGTTTGTCAAAACACACATACATACCTGGTTTGTATAAAAAGGTGTGCTTTGGGTATAATCTTTTTCGAAACAGACAATTTCTTCGTACTTGTTGTACAGTCATGACTCGTCACATGCCAGAAGTTATAGGGCATCAACTTCTTCGACTGTCTAGAAATGGTATGAAAGAAATGGACATTGCCAGAACAATAGGGTACACCCAGTGTACTGTATCCACAATCCTGAAACGTGATCGGACTACAGGAAACGTTTTCCCGGGAAATTCTGTTGGTACACGCCGAAAATCTACTGCCCAAGGTGACTGTGTTTTGATCAGGTCAATAGGTCAAGGTCGAAAAAAATTTTGCAACACCTTACGACAGGAATAGCATGAACATATTCATTTCAGGGTATCCAGAATAACAATAAATAGGAGACTAATCAAACAAGGTTATTTTACAATAAGGGCTATCTGCAAACTGATATTAACTAGAATTCACCGTGTCACTTGGGTAAGACAGCATGCCAACTTACAGTTAGGACACTAGCGACATGTCATCTTTTGATGATTCCTGTTTTTGCTTGTTAAAGCTGATGGTGAGATTCGTGTTCGTCGTTTGTCTGGAGAACAGTTGAGGGAAGACTGCCTTTCCAACAGGGAATACACAGGAGGTGGTGTAGTACATGTTTGGGCAGCTAATAATCATGATGGAAAAACTGCTCTTCATATGCTCCAGAGAAACGTCAATGGCGCTTCCTACAAGTATCACATGGAGGCGATATTTCTATCATATGCTAAGGCTAGGTTTGGCAATAACTTTGTATTCTGGGATGACAATGCCACTCCCACAGTGTACATGTTGTACAGGATTATCTCGACCAGAAGGACGTTACAAGATTGCCATGGCGAGCAAAGTCTCCAGATTGTAATCCATCTGAGAACTATTGGAAGGAACTGAGTCGGAAAATTGCTAACCACGACGTTAAACCAGCTACTGTAGCTGAGTTGCAGTGCATTCTAGTGAAAAGTTGGGATGAACTCACAGCGTATTACATCAATAACCTCATCGACAGCATGCCACATCGCCTTGCGGAGGTTATTAGAGTACAAAGAGGACCAACCAAGTACTAAATGTTTAATATGAACTGATATAAAGTTACAGATGCTATTTATAATAATTTGATGTCATGTTTTGTCATTATATGTGTTTTAGTAAGGTTTTGTTGTGAAAGGTGAAATGTTGAATTACACATTTTTCTACAGGTATCTGATAACAATTTTTGCTATTCTAATAAATCGCATATGAGGTCCATATAACCTGTCTCAATATACAAATTGCATATGTAGATGCTTAATATAACACACATTTCTCAGTTCGACAGCGCTAACTTGATTTGTGTTTCATCTTAATAATAATGATCTTATTTGTTACAAAATATGAAAACATTTTAGCCAAGACCGTATTCTGAAAACAAGAAAGATATAGGGAAACGAACTCTTACGTATTCTGAAAACAGCTTTAAAATAGATCACTTACAACAAAAAAATTTGATCGTGTTATTTATACTGATATCTAATTGTACTATGAAAGAATAATGGGTCCTGTACTGCTCTTGGAGTTTCTTTTTCTCACTTAGTCTGATAGCCTTGATTACAAATTATTGTCGGACACCGTATTTTTCTGGCGAAGAACTGTCGCGGTCAATCTTATACCACGCAATCTTAACAATCTGATTCCAGTTTCTTCGGCCATCTTAATCATTGACACAGTCGTTGAGTTTTATGTGTGGCTGGAAACTTATGAACTTTCAGCTTGTGAGATTTCATGAATTTCAAATCCTTGTTAAAAGTACCTGGAAATATGTCCAGCTTCATTACTCTGACATTTTGGATCGGAGAGCTATTTTTTTCATAGCCTTCACTTTCTGGATGAGGACTTTACTCAACCTTTGTATATATATAGATAGATAGATATGTCGGCTGAAGTGACTGGTACATTAATTTTGTGATCATTTTATCTCTACCGTAAACACTGTAGGAAAAATTTTACCAGGTTTTTATTATTTTTTTTAGTTTTGGTACTTAATTGCCGTTTACCTGTTCTTCGTTCACGTGCTCTTATCCAACAGCTAATTGTGACTTGTTTTTGTACTGTTCACTACCTGCAGGTTCAAAATATTGCATAATATTGTTGTTTTTTATCGTTACAACACCCATTGTAAAGAATTAACCAAATATTGTTGTTTTTTATTGTTAAAACACCCATTGTAAAGAATTAACCAAATATTGTTGTTTTTTATTGTTAAAACACGCATTGTAAAGAATTAACCAAATGTTGTTGTTTTTTATTGTTAAAACACGCATTGTAAAATTAACCAAATATTGTTGTTTTTATTGTTACAACACCCATTGTAAAGTATTAACCAAGTATTGTTGTTTTTTATTGTTAAAACACCCATTGTAAAGAATTAACCAAATATTGTTGTTTTTTATCGTTACAACACCCATTGTAAAGAATTAACCAAATATGGTTGTTTTTTTATTGTTAAAACACCCATTGTAAAGAATTAACTAAATGAATTAAGTATCATCAGCGATTTCCTATGCAAGAAGCATAGGAAATCCCATCAGTAATTTGTGGGATGAATTGCACTATTAATTATATTTTTGTTTTCTTCCTGGTGATTCATACACTATTAGGGATCGGCAGCCAATTTGTAGATCCAGGACAAACTTGGAGCGTAGATGGCTTAGAAAAATATGTTTAAAAAGTCCGTCGAATTCTTAAGCATACTTGTATCTCGCCATTATTTCTAGGGTTAACAAATCAACAAATTGAGAAATTAAAACGTTATTTAAAAGCAAAAATTGCACTGAATTAAAAATAAGATTTATTTAAATCCTAATACATACGTAGGATCTAGATATGTACTAAATTAAACCTTAATTCCTGAATGCATAATTGTATATCAGTATACAGTAGTATCGACCTTTACGCACGAACTTCGGAAAAAAACTAGCACTTGGAAACAAGGTCACTAAGTGATAAAATATTCAAAATATTTCTGACTGCTTTCTTCGTATCAGAGGACCCAGCACGTGAATAATTTATCTATAATTTGAATATCATTATACTCATCAATTTGGACCATGACACATTGTGGCTTTTAAAACATAGTCATCCATTAGACTGACGTGTTAGCAAACTGCGAGGTTGTCTCGTGTTAGCAGTATAGTTTGCTTCGTTTATCATAAGAAAAGGCCTAAGCGTTGAGAAAATAAAATATTTTCTATAAACATGGGTATTTCTATAAATCTAATGGAAATTTTTTGGTCTTTCTAGGATAATTGGGAATCCTGCGATTCAGAAAAAGAAGATTTTTTAATATTTTACAAAAAAAAACAAAAATGGAAGATGAGAACAATTCTCGAAAGAGGGAGTTAGTGTCTCTTCCTTTTTTGCAGGATATAGAGTGGACAGACGAAGAAATTGTTAAATTTATTTCCGTCTCTGAAACGAAAAATTACTCCAAAAATAAGGCAAGTATTATTTTCAACATTAACTACAACGTAATATTAATATTCTTTTTTATTTTATATTACCTTTACTTCACATGCTTGACTAAAACTATTACTTTAATGCATATAAAGCAAAATTTTGTAAATTTTGTAACTATTATTTAAAAGTTTGTTTCGTGAAATTCGTGTTTTTGAAATACTGATAGCATTGTCTTTTTTTTTCCTTTTTGATATAATATTCTTTTATTGTGCTGTAAATAACTAATATAAAATATTATGATATTATCCTTGGAAACATTAATACATTAATGGAAAAGGCTGTTGTTTTCTACTGTAGTTATTAATCTAATATTAAACAATAATGGGTTGGGATAGTTATTTAATGCCTCTAGCGATTTTTACAATCATGTTTATAATAATATTAAGAATATTATTTAGAGGTTTCTTGAAGTGTTTGTTTTTCTTAGAATTTTAATGAGTATATCATGATTTTATACATAATAGATTATCGGATCACCTTAAATCTATACAGTAAGAATTGTTACAGTGATATACTGTCTATAATGTATTAATAGTGTAATTAAATGAGTTATCAAACCGGTTTATAGTGTCACGTAAAGTGTCATTTGAGTTAAGAATATTCAAAATAAAATATAATTAGAAATTATATGTATGGTATATAAATACCTACTATCGTACTGTGTCATTATATTCATGTCTTCAGTTCTTTGTTTAATAAAGAAAAACCGGATGAAAATATCCGTTACGTTGCTCATAAAATTTGCTATCTGAAAGTATTATATAATAAGCTTATTTTATCGTATAAACTGGTTGAATTTGCTCACAATGTCGTTTGTGTATAGCTCATATTAGGCGATATTTCCGACACATCGGAAATGATATATTTTATCTTGTCGGGAGAGTGTCGTTACGTCAGAGAAATCGAGTTTCTATCATCGAAAGATCAAAATGAACAAGAGCAGTTACATAAAGTGGCATCTGCTGGGAAAGTAAACATCCATTATAGAGCGCCATCTACAGAAGTAAAAAGTAACGTTCTCGAAGCGCCATCTGACGAGAGAGTAAGTTACAGACAAAGCTGTGGAAAATTGAAAAAGGCACTGGTGCAAATTTGTGTGCTTTCTGTAGGAAACTACTTTGCCGTAGGTAAAATATAGGTATTCCATGTTCTATTATGTGTTTATCGACATTTTCAAACTTTGATTAAATTCACTGATAAGTTAGTCAATAATAATCGAAACATACTCAAAGTATTGCCTCGCTGAAATAGACATATCTAAAGGGCCCTGCATGGCCAGGAGGTTAGGGCGCTCGACTCGCAATCTGAGGGTCGCGGGTTCGAATCCCCGTCACACCAAACATGCTCGCCCTTTCAGCAGTGGGGGCTTCATAATGTGACGGTCAATCCCACTATTCGTTGGTAAAAGAGTTGCCCAAGAGTTGGCGGTGGGTGGTGATGACTAGCTGCCTTCCCTCTAGTCTTACACTGCTAAATTAGGGACGGCTAGCGCAGATAGCCCTCGTGTAGCTTTGCGCGAAATTCAAAAAACAAACAAACTTACCTAAAGCCAAAATTAAATTATAAATCTTCTGGTAATTTTCGTGGTATAAATACCAATTAAAACACATTTACTACTTTTATTACACATTGGAAAATATTCTAATATTTTATTTAGGTTTTATACATTTGGTTTGTTGTTGTCGAGAGTATTTCAGACAAGATTATGAGTGTTTTTGTTTTAAGTCTTCACCACACCGTCAAACATATGTGAATAAACTTTGCACAACCTTTTCCTTCGTGTTAATTTCAATAAACATTGCTTGATTTATGACTACGCTTTCAAGCTGTAATTAAATTTCGTATTAAATTAGTTTTATAAAAATTATAATTTGCTTTGCTCGTTAACTGGCTTTGGATGATACAGTTTCCCGAACTATCTGACATTAGACCTTTTCTAAACTTAATTAATACAATAGTGTTGTGGAAATTCGTCTGTGTTTGAATTATCAGAAGCAAAACTAAAATACACCAAAATATAAAAAAATCTACGTCTAGAAATGTACAAATACCATGTAAGTAGAACAATAAGCCTCCCCCCTCAGTGGCGCAGTGATATGTTTGTGGACTAACAAAGATAAAAGCTGGGTTTCGATAACTCTCACTCTGAGGGTCGCGGGTTCGAATCTCACCAAACATGCTCGCCTTTTCAGCCGTGGCTATTCGTTGGTAAAAGAGTCATCCGAGCAAAACCTTGTCGAAACGTTGTACATTTGCTGTTATGTTAAACTTATATTAAAGTTTTTCTTCATTACCCGTTCAAGCCGTCTACAACCATTATAAGTCTCAAAGTGGGTTCCTCGTCATCGAGAACGATAACCGTGATGGGCAGAGCACAGATAGCATATGGCGTAGCTTTGTTCTTAACTTCAAACAACAAAAATAACTTTACAACATTTTCAAAAATACGTGAAATTTTAACAAATAATTATTAAAGTTCCAAAGACATAACCTTAACCCTTCTCATTATTCGCAGAAAGGGAAATTTACACCTATACCATCAAATATCATTTCAAAAGCATACTAAACGTTACTAATTTTCGATTATTCTTAGCATTTTATGTTAACCTGACCATTACACACAATGGGGAAAATATAAATAGATATTATGAATTTCACATTGTTCTCAAAGCCTTTGAATTAATTACCTGAGGCACGTGAACTTCACATGTAAATAATTTTAAAACTTTTTCAACAAGTTCACGTAGCTTCCGTTAAGCCAGAAAACATTTAGTACATGAATTGTTAATTTACACGAATCCTGTTTCAAACGCCCTTGGATGTTGATAGAAATAATGATTGTTAAATTAGTTTTGTACGTTCCATTTATTTGCAGATTTTAATAGTTAGAAAGCGTCAGAAAAATATAGTGTTGATGCTTATCCGAAATTAGGAAGCGCCTTCTAGTGACCCGTTTCTGAACTTTAATGCCAACATGTCTCAAAACAACGTACATTTTGTCTTTGTCAAATACGTGGTGATCCAAATGCTAGTGGCCCTGGTAAGGTAGTTCTTGTGAACTTTGATCTGTTTCGGACTAATGTATACGAGTATATGTGAATAGTATGACCACACTGACCAGTGCTTTTCAACCGGGGTTCCGTGGAACCCTCTGGTTTTTCTCGACAGTTTTTGTTGTTGTTTGTTATCAAGCATAAAGTAACGCAAAGGGCTATCTGTGCTCTTCTCATATTGGGTATCGAAACCCGGTTTCTAGCAGTATAAGTCCGCAGATATACCGCTGTGCCACTGGGGGGGAGGTCCTCGACAGACATCCAAGGGTTCCGCGGAATTCAAGAGTTGCACATATTCTAATACTTAAATAGACACTATTCACATAATTACAATCAGACTACATCGTATATATTTATTAGTATAGCAGGTTCCGTAATGACACAACATAACAAAAAAGTCACTGCATTGTTTTAAATTAATGAGTGTGACTAGTCACAAACAACTGTTAGTATTGCAGTAATGTTTTTTTTTGTAATGAATGCTGTGAAGGGTTGCGTGACACAAATTTCATGCCAGAAGAGTTCCGCGGATTCAAAAAAGTTAAGAACCACTGATATAGATTAATAGAAAAATACAGCGTTTTGCTAACTTGTGGGCGAGCGTGGCCTAGAAGTTAGCGAGTTCGGACTGTTAATTTAAGGGTTAATGGTTCGCAGACCATTGCTTCAAAAACCTGCTCCGCATTAATGGGCTGTGGGCGTGCCTACCATGACAATGAAGGTCAAGTCACACTATTCGGTCAGACGCAAGTTGGCGGCAAGTGTTGTTGACTAGCTGCCTTCCATATAGTATTGTCAGTTCAGAATTAGGAACGACAGTGCGTAGATAGCCCTCGTGTAGTTTGGCGCTCAAATTCTGAAGAATAAGGTCTTAGATGATCACTATTACTGTTGTTTTTCATTGAGTTGATATTGTTGACCAACAAATAGTGCATAAAAATAAACATGAAAATATGTATCATATGCAGGAACAACCTATTAAATCCCTACTACTAGTACACACACATATAGTTGAAATTGTTGACCAACAAATAGTGCATAAAAATAAACATGAAAATTTTTATCATATACAGGAACAACCTATTCAATCCCTACTAGTGGTACATACACAAATAGTTGAAATTTTAACAACTGAATAAAAATAAAGAATGCTGTAATAATAATAATAATATCTAAACCACACTATATATATATGCTATATTTACTGAGGACGGAGCCGTTTAGAACTGGCATGGCCTAATTGTTAGAGTGCTCAACTCGCAATATGCGGGTTGCGATTTTAAATCCCGTCACCGAACATGCTCGCCCTTTCAGTGACGGAAGCCTTATAGTGTGACGGTTGTAATAGTGTAACCTAAGAGTTGGCGGTGGATGATCTTGACCCTTCCTTCTAGTCTATCATTCCAAAATTAGGGACGACTAGCGTAAAAAGTAGTCATGTAGTTTTGTGCGAAATTCAGTAAGCAAAGAAACCAACAAACGGGGCTTTTTACTCACTATCAGGAGTCTTCAGGCCGGTTGGGATTCGACAGTGGTTAAGACACACGTGCGGCCAAAACAATCTGCAGGACACCCTCTGTGTTAAAAAATGGAATGATAGTTTAGCAATTTTTCACTTTCTGTTGCTCAAACTGTAATAATCCAAACTATCACATATTATCAGTGGATGTGCTCTACTGGATCCTAACTTCACACCAAATTTCAAGGCAATCCATTACGAAATACACGAGAAATAAAATCTCCAATTTTGATTGAATTTCTTCCTTTTTTTTTCTTTGGGCCGAAAGTACGGAAACTTTATTTGATGGAAAAGATGCTTAACTTTTGCGGATTTTTTTTTTTTTCAAATTTAGTACACTGATAGATCTTTGTAACCTTTGCAAATTTGGTCAAAATATAAGCCACATGTGCAAAGTTATTCAACAAAAACCGTTTAGTTTTGACCAAACTTTTTGCGCACGCCTATGCAAAAACTCATGTGAGCTATCGCTCTAAAATCTTTACTACAGCTTCACTTAAGACTAAAGATGGACTGTTTTTAGTTTTTTGACATTCTGATTAAAGATGGTTGATTTAGAACAGCAAACTATAGGGTGAAATGATGTGCAGATATATAAGTATTGGTTAAGCCAAGCAAACTATATTAGCAAAAGAATCACATGTATGGACGGTTATTATTTTGATTACTCATTGCCAACATTTCAGAACAAATTGGCTAAATTGTATTAATTATCCTATTTAAAGAGCGTTTAGCGTCACGTGATACTAGCTTAAGCAAGTAACATAAATAATGATGCTTGATATGGCTATACCGAGTGCATGCGGGTGATGACAAGAAACTGTTAATCTAAATTCCATAGCGTTACTATAAAGGAAGTTATTAACACTGTTATAGAGAGGAAAAATACCACCATACATTTTAAAGAATCTGGTTGGTTCTGTAATGTATAGATTTGTTCCGAATAATAGGGTTGCGATCCTAAAGCTAATGTTGGTTACTACTGAGTGTCACTTGCTTACAGAAAGTCATGATATCTAATCAAAAACATCTTAGGTGTGAAAAAAGGTGCGGCCAAATAAAGATTGAGTGTGCGACTTCAAGGAGTAAAATCAAAATTGGCAGGCAAACTGGTAGCTACACATATATCATTAATATGTATTTTACAGCAAATATTCATACATTAGTTAGCTAAGCCGCGTATTTTGTTTTACCCACCATAATGCACCAAGTTGAACCACTATTATGGTGCAAACTAAATTAAGTAAGTGTAATACAACTTTCATCGACTTTATGTGACTCATTTGCAAATCAGAATTAGAATAAGAATTAATAACACAATGTTATTTATCTGTTTTACATCAATTATTCATTGTTATTGTTTATTTTTACTTGAATTAACTTTACTCTCGTTCAGAAGAACTGTCGAATCAGGAAGGATGCTGAAAAAACAGGCAGTGAAACTAATATAAAATAGTATGATATTACATTTTTTAGTAAAGTTTATTCATACAATTACACTACATACGGATGGTATCATATTTGAATTAAAGTTTTTTTTTACTTTTTTACAAAAACGTTTTCTATAAGAAAACAGAGTCAATTATTCTCCAAGTAAATATGAACCCCAATATATCATTGGATTCACCACTTTTCAGGGACTTTTGTCGGTTACTGGAAATTCCACACTTCCTCAGTAACCATGGACAAGAGATAATTGTAAAAGCAAACTATGCTTCTTGTAGTGTTGTATGTGTGGTGTTTTTAGTTGTCTTTTACTCACCACAGATAATCTTTGTTTGTATAAGATTTGAAAAATATGTAGCATTGAACTTACTAACTTATTTAGCAAACAAGCTGTTTAAGATACTAAAATACATATGAAATCCATCATTCGACTCGCAGTTTACTGTGTTGAGTAAAAGGCAACTAAAATAACCATGCATATAAGGTTATTTTTCTCGACTCCTTCATCAGAACCTTCCACACCTTTGTTAACACAGATAACTTATAATAACAGCATTCTAAGTAACAACAGTATTTCATAAAATTTTCAACAGGTTTTTTAATTACAAATACAAATACAAAATTAGCAGAACACCTATTTTTATATATTTTGAAATCTAAATTCGTTAAAAACAAGTCTCACATTGCAGTCTCTTGATTAATTCACTTAAATTTTTGAATATGGATTTAGAGTGGTGTAGGTGTTTAACCTATGGGTTTAGAGTGGTGTAGGTGGTTAACCTATGGATTTAGAGTGGTGTAGGTGGTTAACCGACAGCATGTGGGATTGAGTACAATCTGTGCTTGGAATTTTTCCACCTGCAAGAAATTATATTGAATTATATTTCGTATTATTATCATTTATTTGTTTGTTTGTTTGTTTTAGAACAAAGCCACATTGGACTATCTGCTGTGTCCACCGGGAGGAAACGAATCTCGGATTTCAGCGTTGTGAGTACGTAAGCTTACCGCTGCCCCTCAGGGGGACTTCATATTATAATTATTTCATTTATTTTGGTTCCCCCACCCACCCTCCTACCTCTAGTGAGTCAGCGGTAAATTTACGAACTTACGACGCCAAAATCATGAATTCGATTCCTCATGATGGACCGAGCATAAATAACCTATTGCATAGCTTTACGTTAAAACAAACAAACACATAATTTAAGTAATAATCTATTTTAATTTGGCTACTTGAAATTCTCCCTCCCCATTACTATGGTTTTTGGTTTTAGCTGCTTCTTCAGATCAGTGGCACATTACTCAAAACTTTGAACCTAAAACTAGTGTAACGGATAAAAATGTTGACCACTTCTGCTTTAGAACATACTAGTCTTATGTAAATGATCAAGGGTGTTGAAAACAGAATTTATTTGAAAGTAGTGAACCATTTTTCCCTCAGAATAACCTAATCCGCTCAATGATATCCGTCATGATTGTCCCAGTTGTTTCGATCATCGTGCAACTATAATTATTTATTGTGTGTGTAATAGCATATAAACTTTTTTATATAAGCTTTATGTTCCAAAATGTAAATAACTGTTACATTTAGCAGTTTTGTCTTCAGGTTTTTAAGCTCATTTTCAGAATTATTACGTTACTAGTGTTATGTGCTATCGCAAGTATTATATTATTCCAAATTATTGATGACAGGCTCTGTTTTATGAAACCTATTAAAATAACCTTAAGAATATTCAAAATACATGTGCAAAAAGAATATTCTGGTCCAAAATGTTAATGTATATGTGTAGTTTAATTAAATATTTGTTTTTTCGTTCTAGGTGAGAATCTCAAGAAAACGTATATCATAGCGAAGAATTCTGTACGTTGCTTTTTAATTCCTATACACCTGATGCGAAAGCCTAGATACAAACCATTACTCCAAAAACTACGTATTACTTTAGAGAATCAACTTCCAAGTGTTCAAGAGATTGTAGAGAAATGTATTGAGAATGACAGATGGCGCCACTACCGCCGTAAAGTGATTCTGGAAGTCGTATCTAATCAGCGTGCGAAAAACTTAAACGAAAGAAAAGAAAAGTAAAGAACAACAGAAAGTGGGGTTTGGATAATAAGAACTATTCGGGAATCACACACATATGAATATTTTTAATAATTAATTTTGTTTATAGCTTTAGTTAAATCAGATTCTAGAGTTAATTAAATCAAATAATTACTAATATAGCAGCAATTTTCAATTGTCAACTCCACGCTGTATAATAATAATAATAATAATTAAAAACGTGTTTCCGTGTTCATATATTCTTGTAACTTTCTAAACGTTGGTTACTTCAACAAAGAACCAAATAATATTAAAGAATTATTTAGTTATTACCTAGACCTTGAATTAGTGTATATGTTATCTGTAAAAATTTAGATCATTTATCATAACCATCTAGTATCTGCATCTTCAATAAATCAGAAACAAATATTTCCGGGAAACAAAGTTTAGTGTATTTTACTTAATTACTTCTTTAGTTGCCCCCAGTGGCACAGCGGTATGTCTGCGGACTTACAACGCTAGAAACCGGGTTTCGATACCCGTGGTGGGCAGAGCACAGATAGCCCATTGTGTAGCTTTGTGCTTAACTTCAAACACAAACACACACTTCTTTAGTTAATTATAAAAAATATTTTTAAAAACATGGTGGATTTTACGGTTTCAGAAATAGCAAGTCTATCCTGTAACAAAGATAGATAAAATATGACGGGTTATTTTATATCTTTTGCTACGTCAATACCCTGACCTAATTACCTATATAAATATATATCACAGACTTAATGATATTTTTCAAGCTGCAAAGATTACATTTAAATGTATCGCGAATAATATTACTTAGGTTATCAAGTGGTTGTAGATACGCTTACAAAGAATTTATTGTTAAGCACAAAGCTACACAATGGGCTATTTATGCTGTGCCCACTGAAGTTATCGAAACCATATTTTTAGCGTTGTAAGCCCTCAGACTTGCCACTGGTTCACCGGGCGCTTCATAAAGTGAGGTAAATATACACGCTTAAACACTTTTATACATTGAGTTTCGTTTATTTAAAAATTTAGCAGGACTTAAAGTTCAAAGAAATGTATAGAAAACGTACAGCACCACTAATAAATTAGTGGTAAAATTAATAAAACAATTCAATAAATTAATTTTATTTCTTTCGAAAATATAAAACTAATTTATCTCTTATTTCTGACTGCTTATAATCAAAAGCTAAGCCTTTTTATTCAACCACAAAAAGTTTGATACACCATTTATCCCTTCAACTAGATTTTCAAGTGTCGTTGTTTCTACCTATTTCGTCTTAATTGTTTTTCGTGGAGTAACCCTTCTATGCCCTTTGCATTATACGTATACGTTTTACAAAATTCACTTTCTGTAGGCTTGTTGAAATTATATGTATAAAACTAACATATAAAACTTTACTTTGGAATGTTTGAATTTACTCTGTTACTGAACGTTAGGGGGCGAGTTGACTAAGTGGTAAAGCTCTAGATTTCGGAGCGAGTGAGGCGGCTTCAAACCTATCGGTACTAGAAAATATTTCCTGTATTTTTAAATGTGGATGTGTTACAAGAGTGACAGTCAGTCCCTTAGTGTGGATTGTGGACGGTAGGTTGCTGTTAATGGCTGTTTCCCTCTTGCCAGTAATACAAAATTAGGGACGGCAGCTGATAGCGTTAGTAGCTTTGCCATAAATACAGACTACAAATATTATATGCTCAACTATGAAAAAACTGGACGTTTCAAAAATACGCTTCAAAAAACATACGGTTTCTTAAAACATTATTATTACTCTCATGACTAGGAGTATCAATACGTTTTACGTTTATTGGAAATCATACCTGTCAATGAGATTTATATAAAACACTTAACCATTGTTTAGGCTTGCGAGAAGAAATATACTTTCACCCTTTTAGGCTTACGGAAAGAAATATACTTTCACCCTTTTAGGCTTACAGGAAGAAATATACTTTCACCCTTTTAGGCTTACAGAAAGAAATATACTTTCACCCTTTTAGGCTTACAGGAAGAAATATACTTTCACCCTTTTAGGCTTACAGGAAGAAATATACTTTCACCTTTTTAGGCTTACAGGAAGAAATGTACTTTCATCCTTTTAGGCTTACAGGAAGAAATGTACTTTCACCTTTTCTTTTTTTCTATATAAATACGATTCTTTTAAATCATCCAACTAGCATTCTTAACGGTACCCAACCACACTAATTAATCTCATTTTCATATTTTAAAGTAAACTTACAACAAATTCCGACATTTCGTAACTATTAAATTTTAGTGTAGTTTTTGCTTTTCTCTTGAAAATCATTTTTTCACTTCAATATCTGTGTTTACCAATGTATCTGTATTTTGCCCCTTCTCTGGTGCTAATGCTAAAAACTGGGTTTCGATACTCGTTGTGGGCGCTGCACAGATAGCTCATTGTTTAGTTTGCATTTAACAACAAATAAACAAACATATGTTTACTAAATACTTCAATTATGCGTTACTTTATCAAATCCATGTGTATTTATATTGAATATCATTATTTTCAAATCTCCCAAAAAACAAACTCATAAACAGTTATAAAAAGCATGGTTGTAATAGCAAACCCTTTGGACTTAGTTGTTATTCTTTATTTGTATATAGGGTTATATGTTTCAGAATTATTTTGGGTTTGTTCCGATGTTACATTTACCGAATAACGACTCACGGTTAAGAACGTTTCTTTGCATTTGTTTAACATTTCTACCCCCTATGACAGTACTCGTTTTTGTGTAACACTTCTATTATGCACCACAGAACTCGGTTTTGTGTAACATTTCTACTACGCACCACAGAACTCGGTTTTGTGTAACATTTCTACTACGCTCCACAGAACTCGGTTTTGTGTAATATTTCTATTACGCACCACATAACTCGTTTTTGTGTAACATTTTTATTACGCACCACAGAACTCGGTTTTGTGTAACATTTCTATAACGCACCATAGAACTCGGTTTTGTGTAACATTTCTATAACGTACCATAGAACTCGGTTTTGTGTAACATTTCTATTACGCACCACAGAACTCGTTTATTATTAATTATTTTTCTTTGATTTATTAATATTATAGAAACAAACTTTGTAGTCTAATAGATAAAAAGGTAACGTATTTTCCGGTCATTTTAAGTCATTATTTGATCCTGAATCACAAACTATGTGATTATATAGAGACTGAGAAAGTGTCCCTTGGATCAGTTATTATGCGATAATATAGATATTAGTGAACTGTTCCCCGGATTTTCAACTTCGGTTATTATACGTTCCGAAGACTACGTTGTTACGGCTTTCTATAAATTCTAAGTACTACGGAGAGTGTAACAATTAAAAATTGTTTCAGTAGATATAATAACAAGTGTATTTTGTCGTACACCACTTGGTATAGTTATTTTTTCGAAAGGTATTGAGAAATATTTTAAAATTTGTATGTTACAATTAGCAAAGACTGTGGATTAAAATGAATGTTGCAACCAGTAAAAAAACTGTGCATGCAAATTAATGTTACAGCCAGAACAAACTGTGGATTGAAAGTAATGCTACAAACAGCAGATCGAAAATTATTTCTTGGGATTTTCTTTTTTTTTCAAATTAATGTTCTTTTTTATCTTAATTTATATACATTTTTCTTCTTTTTAAATCTGAAAAAAAGTAAGATGGACAAGCATCACCTAACAATATTTTATATAATTTAGGAGATATATATTGTTATTAAATAATTATTATCATTTGAACTTATGTCCAGGTTTTGAGCATGTACCCACGATCTTGGGTTAAATAATTCATTTGTGGATGTCTTAACCTGTTTTTTGTTAGGGTACTGGTTAACTACAGCCATTTTTTATATTTGTTTTTCTTCTCTCAAAAAAAAAACACTAATGATTTTGTACAACTTCAGGTTTTAGATGATTTGGGTGTATTTAAAACTTTAAAATTTTGTGATGAAATTATCATCAGCATTTGAAATTGGCTTAAAGATTGTTTTATTTTATATTGCAGGAAATAGTAAGATGGTCTCATTTTATAAATACCTTTTATTTGTAGTTTGTTTGTTTTTTTCCTGTTAGTAATACGTTTACAAATGTATTGGCTAAGATAATTCCGCAGTAAATTTAGTTAAACTCTCATCCTCGTAATTTCGAAGTTGTTTTCCCTTACTTTTACACATTGCGTGCTGTGGTTCGGGAAAACTGTGATTTTTGAAAAGTTTAGTTGGTGAATACTGCGAATTTTGGATCAAAAAAAAGAGGAAAAGTGCAGTGGTGAATATTGTGAATTTTGGACCTCGAAAGAAGAGTTGACTTTTGCACAGAAAGATTGGAGAATTTGGTTGATGATATAGTGTGAATTTTGGCTCAACAAAGGAGGAAATGTTAGACTGGCGAATACTGTTAATTTGGGACTGAAACAGGGGGGAAAGTTTGATTGTGAATACTGTTAATTTGGGACTGAAACAGGGGGGAAAGTTTGATTGTGAATACTGTTAATTTTGGAACAAGAAAGAACGATAAGTTTGGTAAGTGAATTTTGATCCAAGAAATGAGATAAAGTTTTTTTTATCCGAAAAATAATTATCTGGCCTAAACTGGTGTATTTAGTGTTTTTCTTGTTGTTATTGCTGTGGTTTTGTTCTTCATTATCAACTCATGTTCAATATTCCAGTCTCTTATACGCAGCTATATAAACATTGTTATCATATGGATTTCAAAGTTTATCTCTAAAGTCATCTTAAATTGTATTTAGTACAGAATTTAAATATCTTATAAGTAACAATCTAAACATTGCTATGTAGATTTCAAAGCTAATGTTTAAAGTCTATTAAGTTGTTTAGGTATGTAGATTTCAAAGCTAATGTTTAAAGTCGTATTAAGTTGTTTAGGCCGGGTGGTTAGCGCGTTGAGCTGTGAATATGAGGTTCCATGGTTCGCACTCCGTTACCGTCAAAACAAATTACCCTCATACTTTAGGGCCGTGGGTGCGTTATAAGAGTGATAGTCAAATCTCACTAGTCTAATATAGTGGCCCAAGAATTGGCGGTGAGTGGTTGTGACTAGATTCCTTTCCTTTAATCTATCACTTTGAAACTAGGATCGACTTGTACACATAGTCGTCCAGTAGCTTTGCGCGAAATTCAATTAAAAGGTGAACGGTAACTTTACGGACTCTCAATTTAAAATCCGGGATTCGTTTCCCCGTTGTGGACAGAATACTGATACCCTGTTGTGTAGCTTTGCGTTAAACTGCAACAACAATAAATTGTAATACGATCGTATTTTCAGGTATGATGAAGCTTTATAACTGTAATAGTAAATTGCACTATTTACTTAAGAGTGGTTACGTAGGCGGATGGTGCTAATTATTGGTTGCCCCTCTGGTTATGATGAATCTTGGAATCTTTGGCCTGGCCGTTTAATCTGGCCCAGCATGGCCAGGTAGTTAAGGCGTTTTACTCGCAATGTGAGGGTCGCAGGTTCAAATCCCCATCCCACCAAACATGCTCGTCTTATAAGCCGTGGGGGCGTAATAATGTAACGGTCAATCCCACTATTCATTGGTAAAAGAGTAGCCCAAACGTTGGCCGTCGGTGGTGACGACTAGCTGCCTTCCCACTAGTCTTCCACTGCTAAATTAGGGACGGCTTTGAGCAAAATTCAAAACAAACCAAACCGTTTAATCCAGGTGTCGTATAAGACACATTTCGTATTGAAAATACCAATGCCACTAAATATGTTGGCTAATCTACTCAAAGTATTGATTATATACTTTAAGAGTAAAAATGTAAATGTTTAAGAAGCATTATTTTTGTTAACCAAAATAACGTGTAAAGTGGCGAAACCATGGTCGTGAATAAATGATGTATTTGTGAAACGTACAATTGTCTTATTTTTCTTCAGTTCTGTAATTATGGAGTTTCACCAAGTACCGACGGTTTCAAGTATCAATTGTATAAAGTGTTATTTAACTATCACTGTGTAGATTGTTCACAACCCAGAACTAATCTCTCCTTTACGTAAACCATGACAAATATTACCATTTAAATTTCTACTTACGTCTTCACGCTAAAATTTTGTGAAGACTGCATCACCCTAATGAAGTTTGTTTCATAATTTTCGTGCAAAGGTATACAAATGGCTACCTGCGCCTAGCCGTCCTATTTCTGTACTAATAGATACAAGGGAAGGTGGCTAGTCAACAATACTCACCACCGATTCTTGGCGTACTCTTGTCAGACCATAAACTGGGATTTGACCGTCAGTCTTATAGCGCACACACGGCCTTGCAGTGTGTAACACTTTTTTTTTTAGAGCAACGGACCACGAACCGTGAACACTCGGATTCACAGTCCGGTCACGCTAATTACTAGGCTACAACCGGCCCTCATGATAAAGGTTAAGACGAAACGCCGGTGAAATAAGTTAACTTTGAAAGTGGGAGCAGTTGTGTTTCGTTCGAAACAAAAACATTCTAAGTAGCATTACAAAACCTGATATCTCTGGTCTTTAAATCCTGTCGTATTGGATTTAAACTAATCTCTCTGGTTTCTAAATACTGTCATATTGAGTTTAAAATAATCTCTCTGGTCTTTAAATCCTGTCGTATTGGATTTAAACTAATCTCTCTTGTCTCTAAATACTGTCATATTGAGTTTAAAATAATATCTCTGGTCTTTAAATCCTGTTGTATTGAATTTCAACTAATCTCTTTGGTCTCTAAATCCTGTCGTATTGAGGCTTTATAACTGTAATAGTCAATTGCACTATTCACTTACGAGTAGTTACGTAGGCGGATGGTGCTAAGTATTGGTTGCCCTCTCTGGTTATGATGCATCTTGGAATCTTTGGCCTGGCCGTTTAATCTGGCCCAGCATGGCCAGGTGGTTAGAGCGCTCGACTCGCAATCTGTGGGTCGCGGGTTCGAATCCCCATCCCACCAAACATGCTCGCCTTTCAGCCGTAGGGGCGTTATAATGTGACGGTCAATCCCACTATTCGTTGGTAAAAGAGTAGCCCAAGAGTTGGCGATGGGTGGTGATGACTAGCTGCCTTCCCTCTAGTCTTACACTGCTAAATTAGGGACGGCTAGCGCAGATAGCCCTCGTGTAGTTTTGCGCGAAATTCAAAAACAAACAAACTAACTAAATGAATAAATAAAATTTATACTTAACGTTTCTCTACATCGAAGATTTGTGCTCAGTTTGAAATATGATATCTTTATTTAGCTGTTTCATAACATTCGTTTTTACTGCAGCCTATGTAACAGTCCCATACCAAAAACTGTTTTTTCATTGGCCTGTTAGAAACAAAATATATATGTGAACTATTTAAAGTACACAAATGTTTGTTGCGTGTTGGGAAGCACGTGTGGGCTGAATCAGTTTATGGCTAAAGTGGTAGATTTGTATAACGCTCTGAAATAACTACTCGTATCAGTTAAGGTTTTAGTGTCATTAAAAGCTGATTTTTCTAGCACCTAAAAATAAAAAGCCTCGTTAGACCGAAAACAAGTAAAACGAACGCTGTCAACAACGTGCGAAGTAGAGACTCCTCATTATCGTAACGAAACACCGAAAAAGAGAAGACTGGAAAACTTTGGTAATTACTTGCTTAACACAAGATGTGTATCGAATAATATTCACGCCATGACAAGAAGTTTTCACTAAGTTGTAATTTTATCATTATGTTATGTACGCCTGTGATTAATTCAAGTTTTGTTTTAGCGCTATCTGCGTTCTGTCCACCACGGGTAATCGAACCCCGGATTTGAACGTTGTAAGTCCATAAACTTACCGCTGACTTAATAGGTGACGGAGTAAGTCAAATAAACTCGTTTGTTGTGAAGTGTACGTGTGTGTGTGTGTGTGTGAAATTCTATTATTTTTAAGAAAGATGTAATTTTACAGAGCTATTTCATAATCAAGGTTCAAAATACTGGACACACGATTTTCAAATTATGCGCATGCGCCTTTGTTCTAGGATGTACGATCTGACCAAGAGCACTAGATCGTATCTTCATCTTCTCGAAAATATATATATATACATATCTATAAACCTTGGCGATTTCATAACCTATTCTTTTATTTCGAAACGTCTATAAGACCTTACTTAATAAAGAAAGTGACAAAGAAGATATTAAATGGTGTCACCTTTTCAAAATTATTTTCGTCGACTTTTTTTTTTTTGTTGTTGTTGTGTATTTTGTTTATTTTAATATAACTCTATTCGTTCAGAATATATATAAAAAAAGGGACTGAATAATAACAATTTTGAAATGTTGACATTTCTCTTTTAATTTTAACAATTAACTGACGCAATTACTTAATAACAATACAGAAGTGAAGAAAGCACTTTATATGCCTGTTCTTTTTATTCAGTTTATATAGTATTTACCGTGAAATATTAAACCAGTAAGACAGTAAATAGCTTCTTTTAGTTAAATTATTGATTTATAGTAAGGGTGAAGTTATATTATTGTTAATTTATGTTCCAAAAATCTGAATTTCAAACACCATATCACCTTAAAGCTTGTTATAACTATGGCTTAACCCTATGTTCGTACCCTGGTTCTTTCTACCCCCAAACATTTTGTAAACAATCTCACAAACAGGTGGAAGCACACATGTCTTTGCTGTTCCTGGTAGCTTCCTAAAAGTATCGATAGAGTATACACGCCTGTTTTCTCCCATTTGTACCCAAGGTGAACTGAGAGCAACACGTGGTTTCATGTGGCTTGGGGAGCATAATACCCCATGGTACTAAACCAAGGTATGTTTTCCCGGATTAACTATTTTCATTGATATTGTTCAACCAATGATCTTTTTACTTCAAAATAATTCATAGGAAGATGTTTAGATAAAAAATAATAATTTTATTTTTTAAATCATGTATTATATATATATATATATATTGTAAATAAAGCGATATCGAGCATCAATATCTAGTATTTTCAATTATTCCTTTATTAACACTACCAAAATGTAAAAAATAAACAATATTTTATGGTATCATTAAGGTGTTTACTTTAACTGCACATATAGATAGATTAATAATCAAATAAAACTTGATATGTTTTTTTGTTGTTCTTCTTGTTCTTTTGGTGTGGGGTGTGGAGCAACTCGGTGGTACGAAGGTTGTTCCATACAGCAATGGAACTAACGCAGGGTTAATAACGAATCATTAAACTGATACATAATACATTCGTCTCTAATACCCCTCGATTAGAATGATTCAAACTTAATGCTTTTGTATTGTTGCGTTGTTTAATTTAGTTGATGTTTAAAGAGGTAAGAATTCCTAAGAATGTCATGATTTCATGCTCCATCAGGGTAATGTTATGGTTATTTTATCTTTTACCTCACAGAGGTTCAACAATAAACTTGAAGGCTTATAACCATTACTAAGCATAGCACGGATAGTCCATTGTGCAGCTTTGCACTTAGAAACAAAGAAAACATTATTTATTGTATTATTATTATCTTGAAGCTGGAAATTAATAACTGTATAGCTATTAGTTATTATTTTAGACTGTGTAAAAAACAGTTTCCATCATTTTTACTTGAAAATTAACTTGTATTTATTATTTTTTTATGAGATTTTTTTTATTTAACAAGGTTTGAGTAAAATATAAATAATTTTCACACAGTATCTTGTTTATTTTTTAATAATGGATATTATGAAAAAATAATTAATAACATTCGTAATCAGAATAATTAGACAAAAACTGCTAAAGTCGGAAATGGTTCACTAAAATAATTTTAACCATGCTAGTTTAACTGTTTTTAATTCACTTTCATACTCACATGTAGCTTATTTAAAATTGAAACTTTCTTTAAAATTTTATGTAAATTAAAATACTTTTAATATATGTCATCTGAATGCATTTAATTTGTGAATATTGGTTGCTTGCTTGCTTTACTTTTTTTTAACGTATATATACACACACACGCAGAGATATGTTACAATTTCTTAAATATAAATTATAGTTGCCATCTAGTGGTGGTGTATGTAAAACCTGAAGCACCTTACTGTATGGTGATGCCATCTGTTGATCATTAACGTTGACATTTGGGTAGCTTGGGTATGGAAAGTTAGTTTAGTCTTAGTACGTTGTGGAATAATGGCGTATAAATTCACTATCGGAGATCCAGTGTGGTAAGGAATTCTGAAAGTTACTAAATATCATTTTTCATGTTTTTATCAGTGTAGTGTTTTATTTTCTAAAATATATATTGTTTTCTTTTTTATTACAGGGCAAAAATGAAAGGATTTTCACCTTGGCCAGGGAAGGTAAGTTGCCAACGCCTCACTCGATTGAGTCTATGAATTTAAGTTCAACTTCAACGGCATTTGCTTGCTGGAGCGTCCACGTTTCGTTACGTCGTTCGAGTGCAAGTATCGAGAGAATAGTTTTGAAATGAGTATCTCAGACGCTTAGAGAAAGGATTACCGTTATTCTAGTCGTGCACATGGAGTTTTGCATTTTTATCGTTGTTATATACAACTTTTATTAATTAGTATTTATGCAAAAATTTTTTTTTAATTATTATGTTTATTTTTTGGACAAATATTAATTGTTGCGGCTACTTTCAAACAGAAAATTGTTTAAACAAATTAAAGACAAACAATTTAGATTAATTGACGATGGCCCTATAACTTATATAACTTTTTGTTGTTTTTCATATGATTAACGTTAATACTTGTGATTTGATAAAATGACCAGTATAGCTTAAATTACTGTGTGCGTTTATGTGTATAGAGAGACGTGTTTACATAATATATATTTTTTTTTTTTCAAAAACGTGATATGGCACTCGTTTCTTGTTATTTCACATTCAAAATTGCTGTTTTGTTTTGATCTTAACAAGCAAAACAAAAATTATCGTTATGTTTATTATCTGTTTATCAAATTCATTCTTGAGTTTTATGAATTAATTAAAATGTTGTGTTATTTTGATGAAAAAAAAAAACAACTAATAAAATGTATTTTCTTGTTTTTAATAGATTGCTTTTCCTGCCAAAGAAATAAAACGACCAGCTCTGAAGAAACCTATGCATTGTATCTATTTTTTTGGAACAAAAGACTAGTAAGTATTCCTGGCTTATGTGTGTTACTAAACTTAGGGAATCAAAAGGGTAAAACATCTGAATCATTCTTGAATACATGACAAACACCAGTTTGTGTAGTAATATTTTAGCATACAAAACAATACAGTTTCACCTACATTATAAACCTTTGTCAGAATGAAAAGGTCTTCTACAAGAAATGGTAAGTGTTCTGATCCATCCATAAAATTGGAGAGTTTTTGAACCTAAAGTCTTCAAAGTTTAACAACAAAGTATAAGTAATATCCATGGTGGTATATATTGTTATTTAAAATTGTTTTTTATCCATTAGTAATTTATAAGCTTAAATATAGATACAAGCACTTTACAACTGGATTTCTTGACTACTTTACTCAAAAGTTGACTTAAAAATCGTACTTATTTTGTGTTTTATGTAATTTATTGATTACTTAAGATCTTTTTCTGTTTGTATTTCATTATTCCAAAAAGAAACGCAGTTGAAAATTAAAATTCCTAAAGTATACTGGTTTTAGCAGATTTTTTTTTTAAATCTGTAGTTTGGGTAATAACATATGAGTTAGACATTCTACTTCCAAATTCCAGTTATTAACAAAGGTTATACATTATAATGTTCTTCAAGAAAGACTGTGATTAATGATTGCTCTCATAAACTTATGATTACCACATACTAGAAAGTTTGAAAGAATCAACTAAACCTAAACTGTATAATAAGCGGAGAAAGTAGAACTAATATGAATCAAACATATTTTTCTGTACTTATTAAAGTGATGAAGATTTTTATCACACATTCTTAGTTTTTTTTTATATGTCTATATATATATATATATTTTTTCTTTTCATTTGAAATTTCAGTAGTAAGGAACAGTTTTATGACTGGAATAAAGTGTCTGGATTCAATCTTCAAATTAGTATAACCAGTTCAACAGAAAGTTAATAAGTTAGTACCTTTGCTATAGTTTCCATAATTTTATTGTTTTGTGCCACAATATCTCTGAACTGTTCAACAATTGTGCAGTTTCTGAGTGGCCCATAATTAGTTGAAGAATGAGTCAAGTGCACTGTGCAAAAACAATGTATGAATGCCTTAGCAGTTTGACATATGCTCATGTATACTGAAACATTATGGTGTAAGATAGTTTAACTTGAAAAGGTCATGTATCTGGACCCTCTGATTACCCCAGTATTCTTGATCTTACAGGATAGCAACTTTTTCCTGACCAACATAATGCCCAGCATGTAAAAATTTTATTTCCAAGAAAGTTCAAATCACTTAAAACAATGGAAAATATTATCCGAATCTAAGTAATGATAACTAATTAATTCCATTCTATAGTGTACTTAAGATGCACGTACTATCTCTTAAAACATTATTGTGGATTTGAGTAAACAACAGGTCTGAGATGAGAAGTAAAAACTATATGACATTTTCTGGAGAAAAGAGATATGTTTCTCGTTGTAATTATCTCCCTAAACATTATTTTTCAGTTCTTCATCAAGGTATGAATAAAACCACTAGAGACCAAACTCAACAATTATGAAACTTCGTGTATTACACCAACAAGTCATTCTTCAAATTGCACAACTTTCTTCTATCACAAACCTTCTGTTCTTGAACAAAATTTTACTTGGACAAATCATTGAACATGAAATCTTGTAACAGTTGATCCAAATACAGTAATAGCACTAATAAGAGGTTAAATTTCATTCACTTGGGAGTAACTAACAAATGCTGTGAGTACAGGCTAGTGATTAATCAAAATTCTAAGAGATACTTTTCCAGTATTAAATATAAGTCATCAGATATGATTTCAACTGTTTTTATGCTCATTTGAACCAAGAAAAAAAAGTGGGGTTAAGGATAATCTTTATTGAGTTTCAAAGTAGTCGCCAAATTTCGGAAAAAAGGAACATGGTTCAAATTACAATTAAAGATGTTGTTTTTCATGAATATTTTTACTAAATATGAAATAAATGATACATATTAAGATCAGTTTGTTTAAAAGTAAATGAGATAATTCTATTTCAGTTTTAATATTGTTAAAGAGAAATTTGGGGGAAACTTCCCCAGGGGTAAAACTTCTTATCTATAGTGAGATTATTCCGTGGCTTCACTTAAAAGGTAAGTGAAGAAGTTATGAAAGTTTAAATAATGATGAATTGATACTGGTATCTCCCTTTTTAACTCTTTAATCCCACAATTTTTTTAGCATTCTGCTGGAATTATTTTCACAATGTCCTAATAATTATCTCCATGCCTTATAAAATTTCAAGTCTGTTTATAAAATGTGAATAATAACATGATTTGGATTAGTTTTCAAGCAAAGAGATATAAATGTTAAGAGACATGGTCGTTGTTTGATGGGTAAATCAGGACTTTCGGCTGGGAGCATCTGCTCGGGTTCAAGGAGTTAAAAATGCAGAGTTGAGAAATAGCTCAGAATGTTATGGGGAGTTTTAGTTGGGTGTCTGTTGTTTCCAGATTACGAGAATATGGCTATTGGAGTCCCTCGTAAGTCTGCTTTGTAACTTTCAGTGTACGTTGTTGTTGTCAACAGTTTTGTTAAGGAACCGGTTAGTGAATGGGTAAGAAGGTGCATATTGAGTGTAAATTTTGAAAAGAGCAAAATGATGCACTTAGACTATCTAAATATTTAAAAGAGTTGTTTCTTTTGTGAAAGGATCATTAATGATTTTTGATTGGCTGTATGAAAGAAGTCAGAAACGCTAATAGGTTTCACTAATTTGTTTATAGAAATTTTTAAATAATAAAAGTTATTTTAGTGTTACATAACACTTTAGTGAAACCTTTTTTTAGGTTAATTTGTTCAGTTTTTCTCCCCTTTATTATGAAAAAAAAAAGATTAACAAGTAATAAGAGAGCAGAGAAGGGACTATCTAGTTTAGATATTTTGAGATATACAGTGAGACTTAAAGAATTGTATTTCCTCTGGAATGTAGAAGAATTAGGAGTGTGGCATTCATGTACTTAATAGTTATGGGCACTGATAAACTGTCTATGAAGATCTATTGGGTTGTAAAATGATAAAGCTGGAAATGTGAAATTAACTTTTAAGTAAGTGTTGTAAGTTTAAATATAATTTAACTTTGTCAGATAACTTTTATGGGTGCAATTTAGTTAGGGTTAGTTATTTTGATGGTTTAAGTGGGTGAAGGAGTGACCTTAGTGAGTTAAATGACTTTGTGTTGCTATTCTAGTTATGTTAAAAAACTTTTAATTAATCAAACGTTTTTGCCTTAAAACTGTATTTTCTGATATAGCTCCTAGGAAATTTTTCTTGTCTGGCTAACAGTCATTGAGGAATGTAGTTTGAAGGTTTTAGAAAAGTACATGTGTTACATCGGAAGAGATTTCACATTAATATTTTAAGGTAGTACTTTTTTATGAAAGCTTTACTCTATACTCATTAATCAGGCTATAAGAACAGTGTTAGGGACTGCATCATTATCAAAGATTGCTAAATATAAACTGATGCAAATATGAATGAATTAAGTTTACATTTTATCTCCTGGACATATTGATTAATGAATGCAAGCTTGGCCATAGTTGAAAAATAATGGCCTCACCTTCTTAATTAGAGTGGCCATGGCTGGTTTGTAAAACTAAACTATTGTGTTGCTGTTATACTCCTTTACCTGAATCAATAGCCTAGTAAATTTGAAACTTTAAGTCCTAGTGTAAAATGTTTGTTCAGTCAT